GTATTATAACGGCGCCTTCCTGACACCGGGCCGCCTCAGGGAGTAACGGTGGCCTTGCTGCGGCATGGGGCGCTGCCGTGGTGTACCGTTTGAATTCCCCATTATATTACTTAGACCACTGCGCCCGCCTCGTCGGGCAGGTGGTCGTACGACCAAGATGAATACAAATACTTACTTAAATAACACTTATAAATCAAACGAGAGGGCTTTGGCCGATCTGTTAGGTCAGCTGGTGAGGGGTAGAAACACCTCACCGACTGGATTTAACAGAGGGGGAGTAGGAGGAGGTAGTGGAGTTAGTGGTGGTGGTGGTGGTGGGCCCATGAGCAATTATGGTAGTTCATCAATGGGACCGAGTAGTGGAGGAGGTGGTGGAGGTTGGGGTGGAAACGCGCCTAATGATTGGAATCAAGGTGGTGGCGGTGGCGGCGGTTTCGGTGGGGGTGGTGGCGGTGGCAGTGGCAACATTATGCCACTGATGCAACGTGGTGGGGGGATGAATATGAATAATAGCGGGGGTGGAGGAGGCGGTTATGGTGGCGGTGGTATGAATGATAACTTCGGTGGGATGCAACAGGGGAACAACTTTATGTCACGAGGCAACCAAGGTGGCTTTGGTGGCATGCAGCCGAGCCGGGGAATGAACAATAGTGGTTTTGGCGGTGGTGGCTATTCACAAAGTGATAACTTTGGTGGCGATGGTGGCTTTGGCGGTGGTCCGTCACCTCAGGGTGGTCGTTCACGCGGTACGTGGGTTAGTGGAGCCGCGAATCGTAGCAACCGCAATGCGGCACCGCCGCGTGGTAGTAGTCGTCCGTCGAATTCAACGCCAGCCAGACGAAGCTTAAGCGATACAAAAGCACCACTATCATCGAGAAATAATCGCAGCGGTGGTGCTTCTGCTTCAGGCAACGCTTCAAGACCTGTGCAGGCGCAAAAACGTAGAGCGCCCGAACCTTCTCCCGCGCCAACAAAAGCTAAGATCAGTGCGAATAATGCTAGACCAACGTCCGTTCAAGGAAATAAGACGGGCGGAGCCGCTGCAGAGCCTAGAAGGGTGCTGACACCAACTGGTGGGCGTTGGTACCAACATTTCTTGATGAAAGGGCTGAAACCAGAAGAAGCCCGCAAGATAGCTTTTGAGAATAATAACAAGCCATTCACCGCTGGCAATGAAGGGGCAGCAAAGAAGAATGCCAGATCAAGACCACCCCGCGTAGAAAATTACGTTCGCGTTGCAATTTACGCGAAAGGGTTTCCCGAAAACATGTTGGATCCCGAAGATCTATCGTCTCTCGAAGAACTGATCATCGATGAGGTTGCCAACAGTAGCGCCGAATCGAAATTGCAATTTGAAAGATTACTTCGAAAGCCGGGCATGCTTATATTAGATTGCCTAAATCAGCAAACGGCCGATTGGCTTACAGATATCATCCCCAAATTGACCAACTGGGAAAACCCCGAATTGGTAATTTGTAATGAAGAAAACATTCCAGATGCTTATGTGATGACTATCTCGTTGCCAAGAAGTGTTGGCCAAGATTACGATCAAACCTTGGCACTAATTCAGTCCCAAAATGACGATTTAGTCACCGATTCGTGGGAATGGGTGAATGAGCGCGAAGATGGTGATAGATTAGTTGTCACCATACGCATTGACAAGGAATCGCATGCGGCTATTAAAGAGAAGAGGTGGAAGATATTTTACAAATTTGGTGTAATTGATGTAAATTTTGCCCGCTATGTACGGTTTGCGCTAAGTAAACGCCTTACCGAAGAAGCCGCGGTGACTAACAATGACGGCAAAGAAGGTGAAACACAAGCTGAGGACGGCGAAAAAGAAACAACTGCTGAAGCAGAGGAGGACCACCCACCCTCACCACCGCCAGCTCCTGTAATCAGCAAATAAAAACGGTAAGTGGTCTGCAAAGTTTTACCTATATTCCGTATTTGTATGTAAACTGCTAATTGCCAATTTTGCTTTTCTTTATTAATTAAGTTTTATCTTTTTTAATTAATTATCTTTATCTTTTATCTTTTTTCAGTATGCGGTATCTGCATTCTTACTTGAGTTCTTATCATCCATGAAATTTATCCTCAACAATTGATCATATCGAATATTTTACAACACTCTGCTGGGCAATGCGGCCAATGTGTAAGTACATAATTTATTATTTTTTTTTAACTTGTAGATATTAACTCTCGATAGTCATTAAGATCGACCTCCCAATTTCCTATTTGCATTTTAACTATCCTTGCGTAGCGATATCATTGAAGTGACTACCTCTATCCTGTATCCAGGTAATCCATTAGATTGTAGCGGCAACTTAAAGTACACGCGGTACTACCGCTGCGGTATAAGTCATATTTGATGCGGTAACAATGAAGAGCGAGGCCCTCAAACTGATTCGTTACCGTACACTGCGGTATGCACTGCATAGATTTTCAACCTTACCAAATTTTTTCATTCAACTCCGCACTTATTATCTTCCATGCTTCATAATTCTGGCAATTTTTATTATCCGGATGCTTCAAATCGTATAATATGGGTAACGTTTCCCTTGCTAAATAAATAATTCCAGTTCAGAATTTGTTTTGTCCAATTGATTTAACGCGGCTGCCAGTCAAACAAATGTGTACAACTCTACCACGAAAAAGTTGATCATACCTTGATTTTCGATCGCAGCGTTCCACAACGAGGCTCCCATATACCGCAATGGTTTGTATTGACCGCATATGGTAGATTTCTGCAGTAACAACACAAATTCCCGAAAAAGCCCTTGGCCACTTATAAATTTGGGTCATAGACTCGACTGTCGTGGGAACAATCGTAAATGTTTCAACCGCAGCGGTAGTACCGCGTCTGTTGGAGCGCACCTTTATTAAAATTCTTTCGCTCGCACTTAAAGTACGCCTATATGTACATTTGGACATACTTTCTATACTATTTAAACAAAAATCTGTTAGAAGTATATTTGCACTCATATGTGCTTCCTAAAACTTTTTATTGATTATTCCGTTGTTGTTTTTTTTAATAATTTTTGCAGTTGGACGTTTAAGCGCTGTTTAAATACGATTAATGGGAAACTCTCTCAGTAGCTTTAGCAAAGAACAAACGGTAAAACACTCCGAAGGCATTGGCAAACAGCAAGAATCGTCAATGGGGATTCAAGAAGTCGACGAAAACAGGGAAATTTATACATTTCGTGAGCTGAGCTGAATACCCTGACGAATTAATTGGTGTGTAACTTTCATAATCATGTCAATTGTTTCGGAAATTATCATACAAGTAATTACTTTAAATTATTTAAATTATACCTGTACAATAGTAAGTTTTTGCTGTGCAAAGCTGTTCGTGCAGCTCTTTGTCATACCATACATACATCAAGCACACTCTAATTATCACAAAGTTTGTATACCGCCTGCGTCAATAAAGTATATCTTACCAGAAGACGATACATAAAAGGAACCATCTAAAAGAAGTTTTTGTTATTTACGGAATTTAAAGCAAATGAAGACTCAGTTTTTTTTTTTTAAGGAGTTGGAAGTAAATTGCTGTAGTTTAATTCCATTGGTTAACCTAATTCATGCTATGTATATTTTGAAAATATTATCTGCCGGGAACAAAGTGTAGAGCTTTAGCCGCTGAATTTTGCTGCAACATATACAGGAATATTATACAGAAAAGTTAAAATTAGGGAATTATTAACAGAAAATGGTAAAAAAAATAAGTTCAGTTGATGTATTTTTAGGGCGTTTCCAATTTATATATTTTACTAGTTCAGTTGAGTTCTCCAAATGAATGATCTTCCTCATTATTGAAGTCTACGTTTTAAATAGGGCTATCACAGAATACATCGTGGCTTCGATTTTCGGGAAATCTACGAAAGTGCTATCACAGAATCCGAATGGCTACCAACGTAAATTCGAAATCCGTAGAGAGCCTACATGCTCTGCTAGACGAATGAATATTTTTTATGCAGGGAGGAAATAATAGTTTAACAATTTATTAGGAAAGAAACCTAATTACTTTAATATCATAAAAATTAATTTTAAAAATATATTTTTCTCTTTAAAATAATAAAAGCTAAACTAAAAAAAAAA